ATCTCTATTATCTCTATTATCTCTATTATCTCTATTATCTCTTTAATCTCTATTATCTCTATTATCTCTGTTATCTCTATTATCTCGATTATCTCTATCATCTCTACTATCTCTATTATCTTTCTGATCCTTAATCTCTCTTTAATCAGGAATTTCTTTCCAATCTTTATTATCTCTATGGTAATCTCTATTTTCTCTCTTATGATAATCTTTTTTATTTTCATAATTTCTCTATCCATCTCTTGTCTATTATGTATTATTATTATCTTGATTTTATTGTCCTTCCTAGTTATTATCACCCACAAAATTTCTTTATTCTCTATTTTAATATTTATTTCCTCTATATTAATTATTATTTCTAAATTAATTATCAGTATTATTATCTTGTTATTAATCTGCATTATCATTTTGATTGTGTTAGTCTCTATCATATTTATTATTATTTCTATAATTATTTTTATAATTATTATGATAATTTTTTTGTTGATAATCATTTCCTCTATTATTGTTATATCTTCTTTACTTATAATCTTGCTACAATTATTATTGATTTTATTATTGCATTTATTATTGTTGTTCATCAGAAGGAATTTATTAAGCTTATTATTATTCAACTTTTTTTTCTCCAGAATCTGTAGGTGTTTCTTAAGGGATTTATTAATCTTAAGGTTACTGCACTTATATTTATTATTGCTAATGATTAATAAAATAAATTACATTAGTTTCTTCTACACGTGATGAAGTATTCCTAACAATTTTAGGAGGCTCAATAACTTTTTAATGTTATTATTATTGATAATCATTATTTCCTCGTCTATTTTAATAATCTCCACCCCTATTTTATTAATCTCTTCTTTTGTGAACAAAATCATTTTACTGCTCTTCATTAAACTGTCTTGGTTGCTTTTGATATTGTCCTTTATAATTTCTATCCCTATCATAATCAATTCTCATAAAAATTCTTTCCACTTTTCCATCTACTTCCTATTAAATTTATGCTTTATATAATTACAAATTATAATTTATGAATATCAAGTAATTTTAGTGCATTATCTTTATCTACATCAAATCTAGCCTGATTTTGATTGATGGAAAAATTCTTCATTTCTATATCCTTTAAGGAGTCTTTTATTTAATCCTCTGTTAATTGCAAATTTTAACAATGGATTAAGATATTCACACTATCTCCAGCAAAGTTAGATAATTGATCCTTCTTTTATTCAATGAAGCCTAATAATAGATTAAAACTAATTACTCAAGTTATCTCTATTATTTCTTCTTTGATTATTGTCATTTCTATCACCTCTATAATTTCTGTCACCTCCATAATTATCTCTATTTTTATAATTCCTTTGATTGTCTTTATTATCTCTTTAATCATTTTCTTATCTACGATTGTCTTTGTTATCTCTATATCCTCGTTTATTATTATTTCTTTGTTGATTGTTTCCTTTGTAATTTTATCTTTTCTTATTTTGATTATCTTCTCCTTCAATTGGGTTTTTGGGTTTATCAGCATCTGAATCAGATGACATGTCACCCCATTTTTCATTTTAATTTTCAGCCATGCAAGTTTTCGATTTAAATAATTATTTAATATTAAAGAATCTAATGACTTTTATATATTTAAATCATTCTATTGTATTATCACTTATTCATTAAATATTTATCTATAAATACGCAATAAAATATGATCACAAATTTTAATAATTTTATTCAATATGTCTCTCCTTAAATTAATAATATTAATTAATGTTATTTATATTATTAGTTATTACTTAAGTGTATTCTTAGGATGAATATTTATGTGGTAGAGGGGAAAGATAGTCTCCTATTAGTATTACAGACACATTTGTAAATAATTAATAATATATATTTCCTTTATCAGGATGCTAAATACTATAAACTTGAATTAAGATTTAAAGATGATGTTCTAGTAGGGCAAAAGGATAATGAAAGTCAATCTAGACGATATATTTTTACTGATGATCCAACTAGGCAAATTCCAGAATTTAGAATGTTAGGGCATGATCCTCATGGATTAATGGTTGGTTATAGACCAAGAGAATTTTAATTAATTGCTCCAGCTGAACATTAGATATATGAATAAAATTTTGATTTAGAACTTGTGATTTGGGGAGACTTACTAAATATTTACAAGAATCCCAATATTAAAGGAGGGCTGTCTTTTTTTTTTAAAGTAATTGATTAGAATGAAATAATTTAAGAAAATCAAACATTGATTACTTATCCTTAGGTTTTTAATGTAAATTTAATCCATATTTCAAGTTAACTGAAGAAAGAGATTAATTATCAATAAATATGATTAATTTGGCTTCTCATTTAAAAAATCATGAAAAATATATTACTTACAGAGGCAGCATAACTTGGGGAAATTGTGATGAAATTGTAGATAGATTTTTAATACCTCAAGTATTCCCAATATCTTAAGATCAAGTACAAAAATATATTTAATTTTTAGTTAGATCAAATATTAGCTGTGAAATAAATAAATAATCCATATCCTTTGTAGGATATTCATAAAAGAAGGATTGTAAAGGGAAGTTTGATAATAGATGATGAAACATCAGCAAATTATAATCCAATCTATAGATTTTTGTCCTTGACTTTTATAGCCTTTTTATTTTTTTTAATTTTTGCTCTTTTTATTAAGGAATAAAGAGAAAAAAGAAGGATAGAATAGTCTAAGAAATTCAAAAGTGGAAGTTGATATATTAATTTATTTAAATAAAAATATCATCAAATCTATTAATATAATGAGTGAAAAAATTGACTTGCAATTAACAGGCACTCTTAAGTAATTGAATTAGGATTTTGCAAATTTCACCAATAAGATATTGAAAGATGAAGAGAATAATTAGAGATCTTGGATTGAATAATAATTTAAAATTACATAGTCGATGAATATAATTTTTGAATGCTGTATATCAAAACAAAAAGTACAAATGCCTGTAAATTTGTAATATTATTAATTAGGTTTCGTTTACTTAATGTATAAATAAAAAAAAACATTTTGATGAGTATTTTGATTTTGAATAGTTAATAGTATATCTTGGTATTTTGAATGGTAAAACAGATAATATATAATGTCCTTCTTGCAAAGACTAAATCAAATTTTAACAAAAATCAAGTTTACTATAAATTATACAAGAGATAATAAGGCCTCATGTTTTTTTTTATAAATTAAGAAAATAGGTTGGAATTTATCCTAAAGATATTATATACTACCACAGATAAAATTTAATAATACCATTTTATAAAGCGAAATATTAAACTTATTTTAACCAATAGTATCATTCTGAAGAATATGGGATTGAACGTATACTCTTATAACCACCATAGTAGGAAAATTAATTTTTTTCAATTGCAAATAAGCTTAATGATTATAATGGTTGTGATTTTGTGAATGTTTGTCTGATATCTTAGGTGAGAGTAAATATACCTGTTAGAGGTAATTAATGTGTTCATTATGAATCATATGACTTAATAGCTTTGCATAAGCATTTATTTGAGTCAGAATCTAAAATGATGAATTGTACTATGGAGGGATGTAAATCAGTTTTTGTTTTGAAAGATCCAAAGACATTTTAGATAGATTTTTAATTATTATAAGCTGGTAGAGAAGGGCTTAGCTTTTCCATAAATTTTATTTATTTACCACATATTCAAAAGTTAAGTGAGTTATTATATCATAGACAAAGAGATGAATTTATAATCGCATATAGAGAAGCTAAATCTTTGGAATTGAACTTAGAATATTTGAATAAGATATATGAAATAGCAGAATAAATATTTGTTAATAATGAAAACAATAAAAAGCAAACAGAATTATTTTAAAAATTACCTAATATTAAAATATCAGATGATGATGATTTGGTAATTTGTCCGATAACTAATTTTGGTATAGAATTACCAGCGAGATGTAGAAATTGCAAAGGTTTATAAGTAACTGATTTACGTTATTTGGTATGTATCTTAAATTAAGCAAAAAATGAAAAGGATATTGAAGGAGTGAAAAAAGTATAAAAAGCCTGTCCACTTTGTAATTCTCCTTTTTTGGCTTAAATTAAACCTCCTTCCAAATTTATAGATTAAATTTACATAGATGTCAAATTGATGAAGTTTTTCTTATAAGCTCCTTTCTATTAGAGAACTGTGAAAGATTATAAATAGTATTTAATGAAATAATAACAATAAGAAACATAAGAAACAAATGCATAAGTATCTTTATAAATATTCGATAAATTGGAATCGAAAAGTTGGGAATAAGGAAAGTTAATTTTTATGTATAAATTAAGTTTATATGTAATAATTATTCATAATTTTAGTGTATTTTAACTAATAAGAGAATCAAAATACCAGTAAGAAACATAAAATGTACAAATCATTATGATTGTTTTGATAAGGATGCACTAAAATAATTTTAATAAGAGAAAGGCACCTTAGAAAAAATTTGCTGTCCGAAATGTTAAGCAAAATTTGAATCCTGCTCAAATTTTTATATAGATTTAGAATTGAATGAAATGTTCTCAAAGCAAGAAAAGGATTTATCATAAACCAATTCAAATTTTGCATTAGTTTAAATTGGAAGTAAAAAATTAACTCCAGGATGATTAAGTAATATCTATATCAAATTATCTATTTTGTATAAACTTTATATATTTTATAAATAATTAATTAAATTGATAAATAGGTCTACTTTTATAAAAATTTATATATTTAAAAGATTTATAATAATTTAGTTCTTTTCTACTTAAACAAAAATCAAATGAAATTAAAAATAATTGTTATTTTAAATATGTATGATAGAAAATAGAAGACTAGTAAATATTTTAAAATTAAAATTAGCTTTCATTAAAAAAAAACAATAAAAAGTGAATTGTATAATTTCAAATACGATACCCTGTATTTTATTATAATCTCAAGAAACTGATAAAAAAAATCAAAATAAATAGATATATTAATTTGATATATTTAAATTGCAGAATTTCTTAAATGAAGAAGAATTATTATTATATAATTATTAGTTAAACATTCTTCTATATATAGAAATAATATTAGTGCTATCAAACTGAAAGATACATTTGAAATAAATATAATTCAAAACTGTTTAAATATACTAGAATCTGAATCGGATTAGTAATTACTACAATTGATAGTGATTGTACTGTTTCTTTTAACTGATTTTATATTTAAATAATCATATTTTAATCCTATCAATACTAAATTCAAATATCTTTCATAAGGATTAGTCTTATTCCATTTAATTTATTTGATAACTTTAGGATTACTAACTATCTTGAGATTAATTGCTTATTATATTGAAATTCGACAGAGTATTGGAGTAATCATTTTTGATAATACTTTCAATCACTGGATTTTTTAATGCTTCAAATAAGACAGATTTTAATTTAGTATTTTAAAATTCTAAAAATTAAACCTAATTTTAGATTTAATCATACTTTTTTCTCAATTTTTTCACATTCTTTTTACAATGGACCTATCTTTTCTAAAGCTTCTCTTTTTCTTTTTTATGATTCTCTTGCACTATCTCTATTTCTTTTGACACATTAGCATCTCTTACAATTACAATATTCATCTTCCTTACTTTTGCATTTATTCTTAATTTTTTCTATTAATTTAGCATAATATTCTAAAGGATTCTTTTATGGTTCTTCAGATCTAAAAAATGTTTAGAGAAAGTATTACATTTTATTTTCAATAACAATTTGTATAATTTAATTCTCAATTCTAACTAATTCAACAAACACAAATAAGATTGATTTTAATTTATTTTCTAATCTATTTGAATTAAATATGAATTCTTTGCAATCAATTTATTTGGATTCACCAAACAATCCCTTGATTAGCTGTTCACTTATCAACTTTTAATCATTGTTTTGATAAATTTTAATAATTTTTAAATACTTTAAGATAATAAGGAGATAGTACTTTTTCTGCATAACATTCAAAATTTCCATTTGTATTAAATTATTTTTAATTTTCAATAATTTATTCAATAAGATTTGATTGATGGAAATATTGACCCATTTTTTAGAACATCTTTTAAAATGATTAAATACATTAATCAACCGTTAACACTTATGATTCTGTTTAACACATAAATTGATATAGAAATTCTGCAGATCGATTATCATCTGATAATAAATCATTTAGAGTTCTTAAAACAATCTATTAAGTGTTATCTTGAGTAATATGTAATTTTTTAAATATAACTTCACTAATTATATTACTAAAAAGGAGTGATTGACTAATTATTCCAATCTATGAATCTAGGTTTATTGAAAATAATTACCATTTGTACATAGAATATCTTTGGTTCCCAAATAAACTAATTTCTTATTTACAATATCACAAATCAATGTCCATTACTTTTTATCAATTACAATTGAATTAGGATCTCTTATGTAACTCATTATAAGTTCTTCTGAATCAGATACACATTATTTCATTAAATAGATCATTATATTTGCAATATATTTAACTAGGATTGGCATTTTGATCGATTAGAGGAAGTCTTTAATTGAAATTTAGGAAGCACTCTATTAAATTTGTTCTAATAGTTTTATTGTTTTCTGTTAGAGAGTTCCATTTTAGTTCTAACTCACATTTTATAATTTTAATAATTAGGCTTGCATAATCTAATTTTAGGCATGAATAAGCATATATTATTGAACATTATAAACTTAAGACTAAAAATGATCTATTAATTTATACCATATATGAAATATATGAGTCAATTTTGTCTGTTGGAATACTTTAAGTTCCATTAGTTGTTGAAAATGGTTTCATTTGATCTTTATATTTATTGTAAATTTTTTTAAATATTAAACAATATTAATATGTAAAGTGATATTTATTAAGAATTTGCATTTAAGAATAATTCTAATAAATATACCATATAATTAATAAATAAGAAAGATTGACAATTCAAAGCTTAGAGCGTACCTTAATATTAAAAATAATAATGGAACATTTTAAAAATATTAAAATATAATAATATATATTTCCGTATGAATAATAATGATAAGACAGACATCAAAATAGAGAGAAGGTACCTGATAATATCAATAAAGTTAAATGCCATCTGCTTAACCAAAGAAAGTATTGGTGAAGAAACCATCAACAAATGTTGAAAAATAGGAAAAAACATAAGAATAATCAATTAAGCATTAAGAGATTTTGGATGATCGTCTTAAACAAAAACAATAATAATATGAAGAAGCAAAAGCAAGGATACTCTAAAATTAAACACTCATAAGAAATTAGCAAAAATACAATTAAGAATTTCCTGAACTGCCAAAATGAGGCAATACAATATAAATAAATAAATCGATATAAATGGTCTAAAAATAATATATCAATTAATATTGTTAATAAAACGATAATCATTTTTAATTTAATAATGTCAAATGATAATAATTTTCTGATTGAAAGTGATGAAGAGGAAGAAGTAGATGATAATGATTTATTTTAATAATCATCTCCTTAAGTTAGAACATCTTTTACAAATCCATTATAGTTTAAAATAAATTAACATTTTAAGAGTGAAGTAAATGATGATGAAGAACATTAAGTAATATTAACAAGATCATAAAATTATTGTGGAGATGCTAGTGCACATAGTTGCAATAGTGAAGATTTAAAAGGAATAACTCATACAAATAATTCATCAGATGATGAATAAGAAGCAACTAGAGTCACATAAACATTTAATAATCCTTTACATAAAATTAAAGAAGAAGTTGATGAGAGTTATGAAATAAATATAAATAATTCAGATGAAGAAATAATTGTGAATGAATTTGCTAAAGCACATGATTTAGTAATTAAAAATTGTTCAATCAAGATGGTAAACAAATATAATTAAATATAATTAGATATACATCTTTATAAATATATAATTTATTCATACAAAGAGACTTGCATTCCAGATTCTGTAAACTAAATTAGTGTTAGAGAAATAGAATAAACTTTTACAAAAAAAATAAATAGCAACTCATCTAACTAAATGGATAATCAATCATCGACAAAAAAAGATAAAAGCTAATTATTTAAAAAAATGGAAATTATAAAATGCTAAAAAAAAACTTTATGATGAAGCAAAAAAGAGAAATATTGATAAAACTAAAGATATTAAATAAGCATAGGGTAATGGATCTAATGATTAAACTACAATCTAAAATAAATCTTAAACATAAATGATATAATAAACTGGAAATAGTAATACTTAAAAATAAATTAATACAATGTAATCATAAACATCTAAAATAAATCAATAATCAAATGAACAATCATCAATACCTTCAACTTAATTATAAAATAAAACTTCAAATCAAATAATACAACCACCACCGCCACCACCTCCTCCGCCACCACCACCTCCTTTACCTAATTAACAACTTACATCACCTCCACCACCACCACCACCACCACCACCACCTCCTCCTCCATTACCATTTGGTTCTAGACCACCTCCACCACCACCACCCCCTCCCTTAGGAAATGCTCCTCCTCCTCCGCCTTTACCTGGTGTAAATCCTCCACCTCCACCACCTCCTCCACCAGGTTCAAAAATTCCAGGTCCTCCACCTCCTCCTGGTGCACCTAGACCACCTGGACCTCCTCCTCCACCAGGATAATCTACTGCAGGATAAGTAAGACTTTTAAAATATAAGGGGACCTGGAATTACTGTTAGAACTCCTAAAAAAGATTTAGCTCCAAGAAGAGTTCATGTTAATGTCTTATCTAAATTCAAATTTAAAACTACATTCTGGTCATAATAAATAGATACTCAAGGAATTAAAGTATTTATTATTACTAATATCTAGATTCCATTATTAGATTTTGATCTATTAGAATCCAAATTTTGTGAAAAAATTGATCCTAATGCTAATAAAAAAGATACTAAAGCAATACCTAAACCTACTTTAATCTATATTGAAGAATAAAAAAAAGTAAATAACACTGCTATTGTTATGATGAAATTTCCAGATAAACCTCATGTTATTATTCAATGGCTCAATATACTTTCAGATAAATTAGATATAGAATTGATAGAAAAATTAATTTCTATTGCCCCATTAGATGAAGATGCTAAATTATTAAGAGAATTTGAAGGAGATTGGACCAAAGTAAATGATGCTGAGAAATTCTTAGTTGAATTCATTCAAGTCTATAGATATAAATAAAGATTAGATACATTATTATTTAAAAAAACTTTTGATTTAGAATTTAATGAAACTTTCAAAAAGATTGGTTATTTATAAGAACCTATTCTTCTAGTTAAAAATGATCCTCGTTTAAAAATATTTTTACAACTAACACTTAATATAGCTAATTTTCTGAATCATGGAACTCCTAAAGCAAATGCTGTTGGAATTGGATTAGATAGTTTAAATGTTGTAGATTCTATTAAAACAGTTGATAAGAAAAATAATTTATTAACATATTTAACTAAAATAGTCAAGCAGCAAGAAATCAAATTGAAAGTCTTTTTTGACGATGTACTCTTATTGGAAGATGCTTAAAAAGTAGAATTAGCAGATATAGAAAATAAAATGAATGAATATTTAAAAGGGTAATAGTTATTATTAATATTAAAAGATTAAAAAAAATTAATGATGAAATAACTGCTCTCTAAAAAGCTATTGAAAATAATCTATTAACAGAACAGTAAAAGGTGGCATCATTTAAATTTATTGAAATTTTTCAAGAATTTTTAAAGGAAGCAGATAGGAAAATGTAAGCTTATTAGAAAAAGTTTGAATAAATAAAATTAGATATTAAGTAAGTAGGTTAAATGTATGGAGAAAATGATAATTACAGTATTAAAGATTTTTTATCCTAATTATTTACATTTGCCAATAAATTTAGAGCAGCTTACATGTATATATTATTATTTCTATTCTTAGAAAAATGGAAGTAGACGAGGCATTAGCAAGTAAACCAAAACCTTAATAGTAAGATTAAAAAAATAAATCTAAATTATTTTAATCTACTCCTGAAACTTAAGGGAATAAAAATTAATAAGATTCTAAATCTAATTATTTTAAAGCAACTACTCCTAGCAGTGGAATGAGAATGAGTACATCTGCAAAAATGAATGCAAAAAATGGTATTTTTATCATTTCTAAAGTTAGTTATGAGTGCTGTTGCTAAATAAAGAGAGAGTAAAATGCATGAACAAATTTCTATAGTTCAAAAATAGCAATTATAATAAATTATACCATAAGCTCCATCAAATGTTATTTAAAATGCTAGAACTGGTGTTATTTCTTTTAAGTAATGATAAATATATAATTTTTAACGATTATAATTTTAATATTACATGGATAATTAACAAAGCCAATTAGCCTTTTTATCAAGCGTATCTCTTTTATTCAGTAAACTTATTTGTAAAATTATTTAGAAATTATCAAATTTCCATTCATTTGTTATAAATGTGGAAATATTGAAGTTATGAGATAACTATAATAAATATTTAATGAAATTGAAGATATTGATATTGAGAAATTATCAAGTAGGATAGTTTTAGTTTCAAAATAGATTCAGAATAAAAAGGAAGAAAGTTATGTTTCTATTTAATAGGAAATACAAAAATCTTTAAATTATTTATAACCATAAAAAGTGGATGATCAACAATTATTTAATTTTGAAAACCATGAATAGTGTTTATAAAGAGTTTGTGATGTATGCATATTTTTTTTATTTGAGGATATTTTTATCAATATTTAAGAACAATTAGAAATTCATAATTCATTAAATGAGTTGATTACTATTATGTCAGAATAACAATTACAAATTACTTAATTTCCTCAATCGAAAAACTTATAATTAATATCAGAATTTAATAATAATAAAGTAATTAAAGAAAGATTGGAAGGTGCATTAAAAATCAATTTGAGTCATAAGGAAATCCTAAAGGAAATTTTGATAAAAATTGGATAAGATAATTAGAATCAAAAGATTAACTCTGAAATATCAATGAAGTCATAATAACTAGACCTAATTTATCTTATTCAATAAAATTCATAACTAAATGAAAAAATCAACGAATTAGAGTAGTTATTAAAAGAGAAGGAAACTCAAATTCTAAAATTTAGTTATTATTTTTAATAGTTAGAAAATAGTTAATAAAATTAGAATATTTAATATGTAGTATCATAAAAGATCTCCTAACAAGATCAAAATACTGAGTCTTAGTAAGATCAAAATTATGTTAAAGATTCTTAGGTTAGTTAATCATAATCTTAGGAATTTTATTCAATAATTGATCAGAGCATAAATAATTTTAAAGAAAATTAATATCGATAAAGTTTAACTCAACCAGAATAACAATAATAAGTTTTGCAGCTAATAAACCAAAATATTTTAATATAAGAAAGTTTCCAAAAACGAAAGGTTAACTAGAGCTAGTAGAGAAAAATGAATTTTAGTTTTGACTGTGAAAATCCATTAGAAACTAATAACAGTTTCACATAATAAGAAGTTGAAAATTATTAATTTAATTTTTGAAAACTATTTTTGATTATTTATTTATGTCTCATAAATAATTAATATAATTTATTATTATTAATCAAAATTAAACTTCTTTTATTTATGATTAGAGTAAATTTTCGTAATAATAATTTTTTTCCAATTATGGTATATTTTATTCTTGAGTATTAATCAGAGCTCTGATTTAATTATGACTTTGGAGATAATTCGAATTTTCTTTTTCAAAATTGAATTAGTTATTGTTAAAGGATCCATCAATTTCAATAGATGTCTGATAGCTTATTTTAATTTTGATTTTATAATGGATATTAATTTAATTAATTAATACATTTATTTTAGTAATATATCATAATAAAGCTTTTAATTTAGTTATTGCATGATTAAACCATGGAATTTCTTTTAAAATAACAGGTGTTAGAGCAGTTCTAAATGTGTTATCCATAATATTTTAATAGATAATGGTTTCTGTAGAGTTTTCTGTAATCTTTTTTAAAAACATTAAACTCATTTTTTACCCTACAATAACTATTTTTTTTATACCTTATTAATCACATTTGATTTTATAATTGATAGGCAATGGTTTTTAACTTGGAATAATAGTAATTTTATAAAGAAAATCATCAATTTTAATAATTTCCTATTCACTAACAAAAGCCATTTTTTTAAATGTCTATTTGTCTTCCCATACATAATATTCTACTATAAAACTTCTAAATTAATCATATTATTCTAAAACATCTTTTTAGATCATTCCATGAAACCATTAGATTTTTAAATCTGTGAATAAATTGATAGTTTTATCCATAGAACAATTGAGTGGATGAAATGTTTTTACAAATTAACCAGAAAGATGATACATTTAATGATTTTCAAAATCTATATTAATTTAAATGATTAAATACCTTAAACAAACTTCCAATTTAAATTCATTTAACTAATTTCTTATAATTATTCAATAGAAGCTTCTTATTCTAATATTGCATGTTCTGTTGAATTAGATTTAGTTGGTAAAAGTTCTTATAGATTTTCATTACTATCTTTATTTAGTTTAATATCATCTATCATTTTGTTGATGTGAGTTTAAACAAAACTTTCATATTCTTACAAACATTCATCATCATCAATCAAATATTTAATCATTTAATCTTTTAATTAATTTTAATTTATATATTTATGTAATAAAATTAGAGCGTCTTATTTACATAATTTTTATTATCCACAAATATGAGATTGAATCTTCATTTTCCTAAATTGTTTAATTGTAATTTCTCCAAACTATCTTAATGCTTATTCAGCATCTACTTAATGATAATTATTTACTTGGATTGTAATCATATTCTAGAACTTTTCGAAAAAATTAAAAACCATTGATACAACTAATATGACTTTAAATATCATTATTTTGAATTAATAATGTTTACATAATTCCTTATAATTCTCTTTCATCATCTCCTATGAATAAAACTTTTAACATAGTTGATGATACTTATTAGATTTTACTAAAACAATATTTTTCCATCTTTCTAATTTTAATTAATCATTTAATTAATACTAAAATATTTTACCTCTCTCATCTATTTTCTCATTCAACTTTTTTAAATAATGTATTATCATTTATTCTGGTTCATTTTTTGGTTATATTTTTTTAGGACTAGCATCAATCAGATCCTATAATGCATTTTCATCTTTACTGAATTGATGTAGCTTTACATTTTAATGGAAACCGCCCTTTTAAAATTATTCTTTTTTATTTATAAAACCATTAAATACCTTTTATATTTAAGAATTCTAAAAAGATATACAAAGAATGATCTAAATTTTTTAATACATACTGCAAAAACTCTTAAAATTAATGTCATTTTTACTTTACAACATTTCCTATCTTTAAGCTATTATTTTTCTTGAATTTGTTTAAATCATTGTTTTCTAAGGAAATTTTGGCATACTTTTAAGACATGTATGTAACTTACTTTTACTCTATAACATACTTATTCATGCAATTTCTCAAATTCTGAATATCTTTTAGGAATTGTGTAATCAAAATAATCTGTTTTTATTTAAATAACATAATTGACTATATGTTTTTTATAGATTGATTCATGATCTTCTTCTTTAAATATTTCTATTATTTCTATCTATTTAATCATTTCTTAATCAACTATTAAGGCATAGAGATCTTTTCCTTATTTTTCTTTCTAGACTTACTGCTTTTATGTAGGAGTTGGACGTTCAGATTATTCTCTAAATAAAGTTGGAAGAACTTCTTAGGTTAAACTTTATGAAAGTATCTATTTCATAATAATAAATAAATATTAATATTTTTTACAATTTTTGTTATTGACAAATTTTATTATTAAATCCTTTAATATTCATAAAAAAATAGTAATTCTTAACCATCAAGCTAATTTGTAAGGAATACAAAAAATCAATTATAATTTAACATAAAAATTTGGTATAATATCACTTTTTATATCTTATAAAGAAATCTATTCTAAAAATAGTCTATATATAAATTTATTGATTTATTTAGTTATTTATTCTAGAAAATATATTAAATAATATTATAAAATTCTTTTTAGTTTTTAACAAGTATAATGATAAATAAATACATAAAAGTATTTCATTAAAATAATTGAGAAATTTTATAGATTTGATTATAATTTATAAATATGATCGATATGTTTCATTTATCGTAAATATTTTTCTGAGAAACAATAATTCCTTTTGTGAAAATTATGAATATATAAAAAATAAACTAAAAAAAAGACTATATTCGTTAATAATTAATTTTTATTTAATTTTCAAATATGTCACATAATGCAATATTAAAATGGATTGGTTATTTGGTGAATGTACCCGAAGATAGTACTTTAAAAGATTTAAGTGATGGTAGAATTTTAACAAATTTACTTAATAAATTGAATCCTGAAGTATACCCATAAAAAGTTTATTCTTCTCCTTAAAAAAATTTCTAAATGGACATGTTGTGTGTTACAAATTTAGTTCAAAATTTGAAATAATCTGTTTCAAATTTACCTGAAATAAACAGTTTATTAATTGCTAAACATTAAGATATGACAGAAATAATAAAATTAATTTCAATAATTATAAAAGTATCTATGGATAAGATATGATAGATTATGATTGAATCACAATTAGCATAGGAGGCAATACTAAAATTAAATGAAGAATAAGTGCAAGATATTTTATAATTTATTAATTAATATTAAGAAGAAGACGTTGGAAATCATCAATCATCAGATAGAAAGTTGCTTGATAAAATAGATGAATTAGAGGATGAAAATTAGTAATTAAAGAAATTGTTAGAACAACAGGATAAATAATAAGTTTAACATCATAATAAAATAAAATAATAGGAATAATTATTATTGTAAAAAGAGAATGAAATAAGTGAGATTAAATTATGTATTATGAATTCAATATATTTAGAATTGCAAAAAAATATTCATATTGAAGAGAATATATCAGAAAGTTTAATTGAGAAATTAAAATCATAATTAACAACAATGAATAAAGAAAAAAAAGAATTGATGGAGTAAAATGAAATGTATATATGTAATAATAATAATTTAGGTTATAAAATAGGTTATAAAATTATTAAAATATGGAAAATATTAATTCACAATTATAATAATAATTGGCTTAGAGATGTAAATAGGATAAAGTAATAGAAGAATTAAAAACAAATAGTGAGATATTAAAATAGTAAATGGATTAGAAAGATTACAAGATAAGCAAATTATAAGATTAAATAAAATAGACAGCATAGAATTAATAAAAAGAGTGTAGTAAGATAGTAGAATTGGAAATGTAGAATGAATAATTGAAATAAGAGATAGAAGATAATTAGAGAAGTAAAAATAAGGAAATTCATTAATTAAATTAATAAATAAATGAATTAAAAATATAAGTAGATATAATGTAGACAGAAAGATAAGAAACTTAAAGATCATCAGTTAATTATTAATAAAGTCCAAGATGTTTAGATTCTGAATTTAAATGTTTATTAAATGATAATATTGGTGGATATTATTCAGAATAGACAATATAGGAATTTTAATAATAGATATAATAGAAAGAATAATAGTTATAATAGAAGGAAATTCTGTATGATTAGAAAATAAAAACATTGGAGGCAAAAATAAATAAGGAGAAGGAAACGAATATACAACATATCTAAATAGTAATAAGTTATAAAATAATAAGACATCTTAATTGTAAGAGGAAAATTAGAAATTGAAATAAGAACTTGAGAAATTAATAGATAGTAATTACTAAGTAAATAGGATTCATGCAGAAAAGCAATAAAATATGTTATTGATATCAGTAATAGAATGTTTAAATGAGAAAGTTAATTAATTGCATAGTTAATAAAAGGAGTAAATAAAAAGTGATAAGAAAATCTAACCATAGATATTAACAAGGAATTAAATATAATTATGGAGTGCTAAATAATGAAAATAAAATGATAAATTAGACTGACAATCATTTCTTTTTTTGCCATCTCCAGTTGCAGTTCCTCTTGCTAAAGTTGTTGCTTATTATTTTCTTATTTCTTCTAAATTAGATTTAATCTATTAATATCTATATATATATATCTTTACAGTTGCTTCATTCATTTTTAAAGTTTAATGACATGATTCACAATAACGTATATTATCGATATTATTTATGTTATCTTTAAACTTATCCTTTACCATCTATACTTTTCAATGTCTCTTTTTTTGGTTTTGCTATATTCTTCTTCTTTTTCTTTTTCTCTACTTCTACTTCTGTATATACATTTACATAATATATATTTTCATTTCCTATCCATAATTATTCATATGATTTACTTAATAAAGCAAATGCTTCTACATTACTAACTAATGATATTTCACATTTCATTTTATATTATTCTCATTAAATCATTAGCTCTACTTATATTAGCTTATTCATATAGTTTTACCTCACCATTGAGGTGAACAACTTTAATTATCATTTTAAATATTTAAGATTTTTATTTAAAATAAATTACACAAACACATATACCAATCATTATAATCTTAATCTACGATTACCAAGTAAAGGCCTTAATTCACTTATAATATAATGTTTATTCTATTCAATACCCTTTCTTTATTATTCTTCAAATATTTATTAACAATACTACATAAACTAAGAATTAGATCTTTATAATAAAATTAAGAAGTTTTTAAAATATTCCAATTAAAATTTCTTCTACTAAAGATGAACTTATAATATCTAAGAATTTATTTAATCTTCTAAAACTATCTCATTAATCAAGGACACAAAATTCCCTAATTTTATCAATTACATTGGACTTAAAGACTGATGAATTAAATAATTCAAAATACTCAGTCCAAAATCTTTATGAGACTATTATGCTACTTAAATATAAATATTTAATGGTATGAAAATATGTTCATATGCTTCATCCTTAATTTCTGAAAATTACTAAACTTACATAAATAATGTTTCCCTCATTAATTAATCATCATAATTCTTTAAGTACAATAGGAATGTCTATATTAGAATACATTGAATCCAAAACTCACTTTATTAAATTAATTAAGTTTTCATTGTATTTGATATAAAAATTGCAAATTCATTTGATATTTATATATTCAATACCTAACATTTGCTTAAAAACATTAATAATAGTTCTGTTCCGATTTCTATTAAAATTTATTATTTTTAATTAAATATCTGTTAAATTATAAATACACAGATATCTATATGTTATGCCAGTTAATCATTTCTATAAATTATTTCAATCAAGGTTTCAATAATCTTCTCTTAAATATTTAAATTATTATCTTACCACTCTTAATAAAATTACTTTATAATCCAAGAGTGATCTTAAAACGAGTCCTTCTTAGTTAATTATGCATAAAAATTAAAAATACATATTTTGCTCTCCTAATTTTTAAAACTGGCATAAATTGATTGTATATTTGGCCAAAATTTACTTGGCTAATCTATAATTTCAATTAGTTGATTCAAACATTCAATCTACAAAAGAAGAATACATTTATTTGTAGTTTATAGTGTTAAAATTATATGAATGATGATCTATGATATATCTTCTGGTATTTATTCATTATATTTGAGATACCTTATGAATATTTATAAGATTTATATTTTTAATGGATCAAATAAACCATCTGCAGATTATAATTCTTATTAAAATTATACAATATATTAGTCCATATCAAATTGCATATCAAGCATTACATTTCTAATTAAATAATATATCGCTTCTTTCTATATCACATTTTAAAAACTCTTTAGTTCTGGTGTTTATTAAAATTATTCATTCATAATTTAAATAACATCATCTGCTTTATGGCTTTAAAGGGAAGCAATTAAAAAATCAATAGCTGTATCTCTGATTTCATATGATGAATTATTATTTTCAGCATATGCCTCTTCTTAATCATAATAAATATCATATACTTATCCTGGACTTAAGATTAAAGCATATTGAATCAAGAACTTTAAAATATTACTGAAATAACCTTCAAATAATACTAATTCAAATTCTAATCCATTTTAATTTACTTACTCTAAAGCCTATAGAGGATCAAATGTATGATTTTATAATAACAATTTAAGAATCTTTAAAACTTGTAATACTAATTTATTTTATTAGTTAGGAAGATCTTTCAAATTTTAAATATCATTTTTAAATTATTATTCTGAAACAAACTCTAGTTATATCTATTTTAAATTTTAATTAGTAAAATATATTTTATTCAATACTAATAGCAATTAACTTAAAGATTCTAATGAAAAATTCTTATTATAAATTAATTTGCTTAAAATTATTTTTTATATTAAATATATAGCTCTGAAGTTGTTATTATAGACCTGTTATTCTAATTCCTTTAAATACTTTTCAAATTCATGACTTGCAGTATTTTTTATTATTTTTTAAGATAAAATTATCAATTTTAATGATATTTCTAAAGCATTATCACTAATCATGGATTAAGCTTGTTCACATAAATATTAAACTCTTTAAGTATCACCTTCATCTTTAAATAACTCTTTTAATAAGTAATATAATAATTCAATATCCTTTTGGTTAATTATCCATTATACTAATTCGAGATCTTTTTTTTCTTTAATTAATATGGATCGCAATGCTTTTCTTATTTGTATACTTTTGTTATTTTTTTCACTATATATTTAAGTAATGATAGCTCTGAGTTATTAATATTAATTTAAGTCTAAGTTTTCAATGTGATTTTTTAGCCAATAATTCAAATAAATTTCAGCTAATTGATTCTTTTCAATAATTAAATTAAATAATGAATTCATGTCATTTAAATTCTAAAAGGTCTAATCCAACTTTTACAGTGATTCATTTCGAATGAAATCCTATTAATCAATTGATCCTGATAATAATTTCAATAATTAAAATTAATCCATAATTATATTAATTAATTACAAAGAATTATTTATGAAATATAATCGTAAAAATATTAATCCACCTATCCATTTTCAATATCGGTTTTAATCATTTCAATCTTTTAACATAAAGAGTGCGTATATTACATTATGAGAAAATAGAAATTCTACTCTTGTAATAATCATCCAAAATTAAATCTGAAAAAGATCTAAAAATATCAATTGAGGAAATAAATATTAAGGATGTTTAATTAAATCCTAAAAATTATTAATAATCAGACTTTGATAAATATGGAATATGTAAACCTAAAGAATATAATTTATTATTAAATATGTCATGAATTTCATTGGGTTTAGTATAAAAGTATGAAATGATTGATTAAAGTTGTAAGAGTGTTATAAAATGAGAGTAAGGATATAAAATAGAAAGTTTATGTATTATCATTTTATATTATAGTTTAAGATAAACAAGATTTTAATAAAATATATTTTATGGAATTAATAATGTATAAGAAATTTCATTAATAACGAAATATATGGACAGAGTGATTAATTTATCTCATTTTTATGGTTATGATAAATTAAATAAAGATTAGTAAAAACAAAAAAGGAAAAGTGTTCCATTCATAAAGTTCATTAATAAAATAATAAAAAATTTAATTAGTGGATAAAAAGTGTTGTGAAATATTGATTAGTTGTTAGCATTGTATAATAGTATATTAGAACAACTAATAAGGATGGAAATTTATTTATCAAGTGATATTTTGATAAAGATAAAGAGAGGTTGATTAAGAAGATTAAATGTATCCACATAATACAATGTTAAAAAAGTAAGATAGTAAGGAACAGATTCTATTAATGAGTTATAAAATATTAATATTGAAAATAATATCTATTAATGCAACAACATAATCAGTTACTTATAACAATAGCTAACATCTTAGATGAAATAATTAAAGAGACTGATGCTCTAGAAATAGAGTAAGATTCAATATCTTATTTTCATGCAACTAAAGCACCATCAATTACTTTGTATTATTATTTATAAAGAATTGCAAAATACACTCATTGTAGTGAAGAATGCTTTGTCATTTCTTTAATTTACTTAGATAGATTATAAGAGAAACATCCTTATCTAGTGCTTAATTCAAAATGCATTCATAGGTATAGTTTTTAATTTATTAGATTTTTATTGATTTCTCTTGTCATTGCTATTAAATTTTAAGATGATGATTATTATAAAAATGAATATTATGCAAAAGTAGGAGGAATTAGCGTAAAAGAAATTTTTGTTCTTGAGTAAACATTTTTAGAACTAATGGATCATTAATTGTTTATTGACGAACATTACTATTTTATGTATGAAAAGAAATTACTTGAATATGGAGAAATTGAAATGCCTTGATTAAACATTATTTATTTGTTAATTTCTTAATTTTAGATTTTCTTAAATTATTTTAAACAAATTCCAATAAATATCTAATAAACAAGTTTTAAAATAATAAAATATATAAACATCATTTATATTATATACAATTTTTTCAAGCACGATTAAGTAATTTATATTAAAAATAAATTTACAAAATTATGATAAATAGTATTTCAAATAATAAATAGGATTGAATAACTCCAATCTTCATAATATTATTTATCAATAGTTCTCAATTATGTAAAATTCAATTAAGAATTCTCTATAACCAAGAAATTGATTAAAATTTTTAACTTTATTCTAAAACTTATAAATATGAATATTTCTTTAAAAATTATTACTCATATCTAAAAATTAAATACTAATAGATGGGCTTATATACTAATATATATTTTAGAAAGAAAATATTTCTATTATTCATTCAAGAATATAAGGGATATTTCTTCATGATTCATTTAAAATGAGATCTTATTATGATATAGAAATAATAAAATAATCAAAGTACTTGAAAGAGTTATCATCAATAATCAGAATTAATAATTAATTATTCTTTTAGGGATTAAAAAAATAAATATCTTAAAAACTTATTCAAATATTTAAATTAGACTTGAATAAAATGGTCACACTGAATCCAGAGGCTCTGAAATATAAATTATATTATGGATACAAAAATATCTATTTTATATGTATAAAAAATAGTTTGAACATAAAAAAATAAATAAATAAATCTAATCAATACTGTAATTCTTTTTTTGATTCTTACCATTTCTTTTCTCTTTCACTGTGTCTTGTTAACATTAATATTAGATGTATCTAAGTAATATATATATAAAATATACTTTTCTTGATATTTTTATAAGATGCATAATGCCTGAGTTTTCGGATTGATATTTACAATTATTGATAGACCATGGATTAGCTTTATAATATAATAAAAGATAAACAATATGTTTTTACTCAAACTACATAGCATAAAATAAGGGAGTTTTGCCATGTTGGTCTATAGAATCAACATAAGCTCCATTTTAGAGTAAGCTTTCAGTTATTGATGAAAATCCTTTTTTTGAACTTAAATGTAAAGGAGTTTTTCCTTCTTCATTTATATCAAATGCATAATATCTACATTTCAAGAGCATAAAATTAATAAGTTATAAATTATTATTTTCTATGCCTTCAAAAAATTAAAATGATCCCTCTCTTTCATAAGCTTTCTTTTAGATAACACCATTCTAAAATAATTCTTATTTAGTTAATTTCATTAATTTCATTTTTCTAACACAATTCACAATTTAATTAAACATTTTCTTAAATAAAGATCTGACTTTATTGCTAAAAATGGCGTTTTATTTTTTCTTTTTTTTATCTCTTATTTAAGATGATTTCTTTGATTATTAAAGGTTATTAGATGATTTAACTAATTTTTACTTTTTTTCTTCCTCAACTTAATGAACAATTTATTTTAAGAACGAAGTAGATATTCTCATTCTACCATTATTCTTACTAGATTTAGTTTATTCTGAAAGCTGTATAATAGAAATTTCTTATTATTTATTTTATTCTTCTTAATATGCTTTTTTTTTATCAAAATAAATTTCAATGACGGATTTTAATTTTTAATCTGGTGACATAGATTCTTAAAATGATTAATCTAAAAATTTTAATTTTCTTGTAAAATCTTCTCTAATTCTGCTTTATTTTTTAACAGAAGGATATCTCTCATTAATAGATAACATTTTTCCTATTTTTTCCATCATATCCTTAGGATGCTAATTTTCTAATTATTCAAATTAAATTATTTCATTTTCTTAAGTTGAAACAGTTTTTGAGTTTTAAACTGACTTCTATCTTTTTCTCATTAACAAATTATCTTTATTTATTAATTTTAGGGCTTTAGAAAATGAATTGCTTCCTTATCCATTCATTAATGAAATCTATTTTACTATTTTTTCATAAAATATATACATTAAAGTCAACATAATTTAATTTTGGCATATGGATATATCGTTTTTCAGAAGAATTTCTACAGTTTGATATTAGTATATCATCTTCATTTCTGCTTTCTATTTTTCTGATACAATTATTTTAAGGTGTGTTGGAATTAATTGTTGAATTTTTTCCTACAGAGGATTACCTTAACCATCTACTGGTTTAAGCTTTATGGTTGTTTTATTTGATTGTTTCATTCTTTATTTTTATTCAAAAACATAAATACATTAAATTAAGCAAGAGGTTCACTTTATTACATCTTTCCTTTTTCAGTTTTAGATTCTTGTTTTTTTTTTATTGTAAACGACTTTTCTATCTTACCATCCATATAATTGTATTCAAATGTTTCAATAAATAATGGCTTAAATACATTGTTGTACTTGATCATTGGAACAGATTGTTATTATAATATTTAATTATCAAAATCATATATCTGAAAAGAATCTATCATAATTCATCTATTTTTCTTATTTTTTCTAATAATAAATCATCATAATCAGAAACAAATTAATCTATTTATCATGCAATTTATTACTCTTCTAGCAATTTTCAATTTTTTTAATTATAATTAAAACATCAGTTTCATTACTGCAACCTTTATTTAACCATTGATTACATTTATGGGATAATAATAATTTATGAATTTCCTTTTATTTATGGACTAAAACATAATGAAGTATTATAATTTTTCATTTTTTGACTCTTGAAAAATTTCTTATGAATATAACGATTTGCAAAAGTGAAATATTCTTCTCTTCTATAAATATCAAGAGAAGTTTAAAAAATTTTCATTTACATCAAAAGCATTGAATCTAAATTATTTTATTCTAAACAGTATCAATGGTATTATTAAATTTTAAAATACATTTTAACTCCTTAGCCTACCATATTTACTTCAAATTATCATATTCATTATCACCAGGATTTTATTTCTCAAAACATTATTCTTAATATGATATTATTAGATTAATCCATAATAATTCAATTAAAAATATTAACAATAATTTAAAATCAATAAAAGCCTTCATAAACCGATGTTATACAAAGACAAAAATTTTTAAACAATTAATTTAATTAACCTTTTGTCAAGATATTTAAGCAGACCAGTTAAGTTGGATAATTACTCTATTTTGATAAAATGATTGAATAATTATTGAAATGAAATATATCAAAACTCCTGCATTTGTTATTTTTAAGTATTAAGCAGAATAATATCTATAAGATATTAAGTCAATTACTTTGATAATTTTTACTTCTTTGATGGATTATATTTTAAATTATTAAAATTTATATGTTTTTGAATATCAAAACATTTATCCTAATTTATTGAATCTTTAATTAATTAAATTTTTACGTATTCTGATTTGGATATTAATTGTTTATTATTTTGGTTATAAAGACCAACAAAATGAAAAATTAATAATAATTATTATTATTCGTGATTGATTAATATTGAAAGTTATAGAGAGTTTTTGAAGCCTTAAAATATATTTTTATGATTCTCAGATAAAATTTTTATTGGGTTTTATGAGTGTTTATATATTTGAGAATAATCTTTAATATTTGATCATGATATAAATTGTTTTCAAGCATAAAAATTAACTAAAGTAGATATGATTAAAAAATATAAGTTTATTTTTTTGATTTATCTTTTCAACTTTAGTGCTGGATTTTTTTTCAATTGATCTAAAATCTATTCGATTAAATTTGCTAATTAATCAATTGCTAATTATAAAACCTCAATTCGAGAACTTGTATAACAGTTATAAGAATTAAATTGTTATCTAAATATCGATTTTTTTTCAGTTATGATAAATTCTTGCTTTTTAAAAATTCCATTTCATTCACAAAGGAGAGATAAGGAAAAAAAAATCCCTCTTTTTTCATCGCTTTCAAGACCCAATATTTCCTTCGCTTTAGATACTTAGAATCGACAATTTTCTATTCGACATAAAGATGATATCTTGAAAATAAAATGTTCTCTTTATAAATTTGATATCTTTTTAAAGCATTTTAATCACTTTTTGGATAAAAACATATTTAGATAATCTTAATTATGTTATTCCAATATCTTAACTCATATGAGAAAGTTATAAAGGATTAGATTCTTCAGCTCTTGCTTATTCAAGAGATTCCAATAAAAAGAAGTAATTAATTAACTTCATAAAACAAATAGTACTTTTTGTATAAATATAGAAAGGAATGAATAAATTTTTTATTTCATTTTTAAATGAAAACAAAAAATGCATGAAGAATTGGAAATCTTAAACTTGCCTTTATTTTCATAGGTTTAAAATAGTCAACAATACAACTTAATCCATAAAGTTTACATTGTTTGCGGTTGTAATTATTATAACAGGATGGGATGCATATTTAAATTGAATTTTATAAAATACTTCATTCTTCATATCAAACCAACATCTGCGGGTAATCAAATTATAAAAGTTAACATATCTATCATAAACACAAGAGTTTTAATATTACAAACAAATACAAGAATCTTTAATTTCTTAACAACTTACGCAACTTGAGTCTTATAAAAAACACAAGTCTCTCTTATGTCAGCTTCGTCACATAAAGAATACTAGATTTACAGGTTTAGGTAAAATAATATTATTTTTATGAATATAATATATTTTAGCTATTAAACAACATGTTTAATTTAAAAATTAATATTTTATGGTTAAATTAAAAGTGTGCAAAGTGCATTGATATTTCATCTACATCCAATATCTGTACAAAATTAATCTTTTTCATCTTTTCCTATTAAAACACATTATTTTACCTATTATCCATACAAATACTTTTTCAAGAGAAGCAATAATTAAAATAAATAAATGTTATGATTATTTAAATTTGAATTTAAATATTTAATTTAATTAATACTTAAAATGAAATAAATTTTATGCCTTTGGCTTCTGATAGGAATATCATTATGTGTCACAACATCAATAACTTAATGTGAATGCGCACAATTGCGTTCTAAGACAGATTGCACTTAGAGAACTTCACTTGGCTGCTCATGGGATGAGACAAAAAATACATGTACAACTGGTGTTGTAGTACCTCCTGTGACAATAACTTATGCATCTTATTGTTAAAGCATTTCGCAAGCTGATTGTTTTAAGACAAAAGGATGTTTATGGAATACCGATAAATGTACTCACTTTACAGGATGCACAGCATTTAATAAGACAACTGATGATGAATGTAAAGCTATATCAGATAGATGCATTACTGATGGAGTTCATTGTGTAGAAATTGGAGAATGCAAATCATATTTAAAATAAATTCCATGTGTTGTTGATTAAAATAATAAAGATTGTTTCTGGAATAAGGATACTTGTATTGATGCTACATTATGTGAACAATACCCAAAAACTTTAACAACTGATGAATAATGTAGGAATAAGAATATTAAATGTACAGTAGCAAAGGAAGGAAAAGGATGTTAGGATAGCGCTACATCTTGTGCTTTATAAGATGGACCAGACTAATGCAAGTTTGGAGATTAATAATAAAAGTAGCCATGTTTTTGGACTGGAGAAAAATGTGTGAATAAAACTTGTGAAAACGCTCCAATTTCATATGATACTCATGAGAAATGTTAGAACCACGATTCAAGTTGTACTACAACTGGATCAGGATGTAGAAATATAACTACTTGTACAGATGCAAAAAATTTAGAGGGATGTAAAATCAATAGTACTAAATAAAAATGTATTTGGATTGAAAACTAATGTAAAGATGATAAATGTGATTCAGCACCACTTACAAGAATTTCAAATGGTTTATGTGAATAATTCAAGCCAGGAGGAAAATGCGTAACAAAGAAAGGAGGAGGTTGTAAAGATAATGGAGCTTGCAGCAGTTTAGATGAAATTGCATGTGAGAAAAATAGAGATGGTGGGTTATGTATTTGGAATGTAACATGCAAAGATAAAATATGTGAAAATGCCCCTGCTTCAAATGACACCCTTGACGCATGTAATTAATTCATTCCTGATGCTTGTACATTGAGTGCTACTGGTAAGGGATGTAGAACCAGAACATGTGATAATGCACCCCCTAGTCTCAAATCAACATCTGAATGTGAAAATTATAAGAAAGGTTGTATACCTAAAAAGGATGGTGGTTGCTAAAATGTAACAACCTGTGATAAAATTGATATACCAGAGATATGTCTCAAAGCTGGTCTATAAGAATGTGTTTGGGATAAAGATTTAAATAAGTGTCTTGATAAGACTTGTGCAAATGCACCAGCAGATTCAAGAACATCACATGATAAATGCAGTACTTATATGCCATCTTGTACAGTTAATGCTCAAAAGAATGCTTGTATTGAAAAGATTTGTGAAAATATCGTAGAATCATAAGATTGCTAACTAGATAAAGACAATTTAAAATGCAAATTTAGAAGCTCTTGTTACAAATAAGAATGTCGTTTAGCATCATAAAAGATAACTACTCATAATGATTGTTAATAACATATGTTGTCTTGCACACTTGACAACACTGGAAAAGGTTGTATGCCTATTCCTCCAAATTGTAGTGCCATCAAAACACTAGAAGGTTGCGTTAAGAATAACGCAGGTGGTGAATGTGCATGGTTTGCTAATAAATGCTAAGATAAATAATGTAATACAGCACCTTCAAATACAAATGATAATACTGCATGCAATGCTTATAAAACTTATTGTTTAGTAAATAATAATGCAAATGGTTGTATTGATCCTTATACTGTTGCTTGCACATAACGTTAAAATGATGATAATTGTTATTCATCTGTAGGATTAAAATGTGTTTTTAGCCCCTCTAATAAATGTAGAGCAAGAAGCTGTGATACTGCATCAGATAATACAATTACATAACCAATTAGTAATGGATATCTCTAATAATTTTCTAATACATAATGTGACTCCTATTTAGAAGGTTGCGTTCGTAGTAATTCTGGTACTGGATGTAGAACAAAAGCCACTGCATGTAAGGACTACAATGAATATAATTGCTCTCAAAAAACAGCTTCTGGTAAATCATGTTTTTTGAACCCTGATAATTCCTGTGTTGATCTAGTATGTGAACAAATTAAGTTAACTAATCATGATAATTGTGAGGCTGCCACAGATATGTCATTTACATGTACAGTAGCTAAAGGTGCTAATCCAACTAATTGTATGACTAAATAAGAGACTTGTGGATAATATGAAGAGAATCAATGTAAAAGTACTAAATCTGGAAAAAAATGTATCTGGGCTAACGGTGGATGTAGAGAAGCAACATGCTCTGATGCAACAGATGATAGCTCATATAATACTCATGATAAATGCAATAAATATGTTAATACATGTACTGTTGTCGAAAGAGTAGATAAAAAAGGTTGCATACCTAGAAAAGCTAATTGTAGTGATTATACTTCTACGGGTTAATGTGTTAAGAATTCAGCTAATGCTGATTGTTATTGGAATGGAGATAAAAAATGTGTAACTTTTAGTACTATGACATGTGCTTAAATTGTTCTAACTACATAATATACAACTGCTAATTGTGAAAATGTTAAGATTTCATGCAAAGCTAAAGGCGATGCAACAGCTTGTGAAAATAAAATTTGTACTGACTATATAAACACTAATGGTAAAACAAGTGGTACAGCTGTTACAACTGATGATCATTGCAAATAATTATATCCAGCTTGTACTATTGATAATGGAACAAATGCAAAAGCTTGTATGAATAAACTAGACACATGTGCAGATTAACAAGAAACTAAATGCTCATACTCAAAAGCAGGATAATGTGCATATGTTAGTAGTAATTGCATATTATAATCTACATAATGTAGTTAAAAAACTGGAACTAATTTAACAGTATCTTAGTGCAGCACTTTTAATCAAGCTTGTTCTGTTAATCTTGCTGGTACTGCATGCATTGATATATAAGCTGAATGTGGAGGTTACACTAGTACTCTTGCAAATTGTAGAAAATCTACAGCTGGATTATGTAAGATTAATAGTACTCCAGCTTGTGTAAGTGCTGGATAAGTAGTTTGTGCGGACATTATTAAAAATGATACTAACTTATTAACATATTAATCATGTTAAGATTTTAGTACAACATGTTCTGTTAAATTAGATGGATCTGCTTGTTTAACAGCTGCAAATTGTAGTTAATATGTTGCAGATAATGGAGCTGATTGTGTAAAGGGATTAGATGGAACTTGCTTTTGGTATGATGCAAATGGAGGAGCAGATCCTCCTGCAACTTGTATAGCAATAAATGCAGGTACTGAGTGCTCCAAAGTAACGGCTTAATCTGGACTTGATGATGATACATGTTAATACTATAATTAAAGTTGTTATGCTAATTCAGATGGAACTGCATGTTATGAAAAAAAAGCAAGTTGTTTAGATTATTCATAGGTCTAGAAAAATTGCATAAAAACATCATCAGGAGCTAAGTGTTATTGGTATACATCTGGAGGAAATTCTTCTTGTATTTAGATTTAAACAGCCAGCACCGATTGTCCCAAACTTCTTAAAACTTAATTGGGGATTAATGCTACTACTGATGACATATGTAAAGCATACAATCCTTCTTGTGTAAAAAATAGTGATGGCACTTCTTGCATTGAAGTTAAAGCATCATGCTCATTATACACTACGTCATCTACGAATTGTGTAAATACTTCAGGAGGAACTAAATGTTATTGGTATACATCTGGAGCAAATTCTACTTGTATACCAATAACTTCAACAGATTGTAGTAAAGTAACTGGAAATGCATTGACATTTGAAATATGTTAATCCTACAATACCGCTTGTAGTGTTAATTCTGCAAAAACGGCATGCGAAGCTAAATCATGTACAAATAAACCTGATACATTTAATCATTCTGCATGTTCAACATACTTGCCAAGTTGTACAGCAAATAAAGCGAGTGATGCAACTGCATGCAAAATTGCACCAACTAAATGTTCAGAAGCTTTGGTATTAGCAGATTGTATCGGTTCTGTTAATGATGGAGAATGTGAATGGATTCAGGGTAGTGTAGAAGGATCATGTGTGAAAAAGACTTGTTATACTAAATCAATTTCTAGTGTATTAGATCATAATACTTGTACAACTTATATGAGTAGTTGTACAGTAGCAAGAGAAGGTGGTTGTATAACTAAAGGAGCATGTAATACTTATTTATCAGAAGAATAATGCAATAATGGAGGAAATTGTTTTTGGAATGGAAGAAAATCATTAACATGTGTAGATCGTAGTTGTGATAAAATTGAGGAATCATACAATAATCATTAATTATGTAGTGGAATTGCTACTTTGAAATGCACTGTTAAGTCTAGTGGATTGGGATGTCAAAATAGATAAACATCGTGTTCCAGTTATAATGATAAAAATTGTTATCGAAATTCATCTGATTAAGAATGTGTTATGGTGCCATAGGAGGATGGTTAAAGTAAATGTATGGAAAAAGCTTGTACTACTGCAGGAAGTTCATTCACTGATCATGCAACTTGTTATGATTATTTAAAGAATAATGCTGGGGACAAGTTATCAGAATATTGTACCGTTGCTTTAGTGACTGCTGCAGATGGAACCACATCTGCATCTGGATGTTAAAAGGTTGGAAATTGTACTGATTATGCTAAAGAATAATGTATTGTAGATTTAGAAGGGAAATTATGTGAATGGGATGATGTAAAAAAATGCAGAGTTAAAAAATGCGAGACAGCTCCTGAAACAGAAAGTTATGATACTGATGAAGAATGCAAAGAATATTTAGATGATGGTTCATGTACAGTTGTCAGAGATGGTATGGGTTGTGTTGTTAGACCTGATAAATGTGAAGGAATGTCTCAAAAATAATGCATTAAAGATTAAACAGGAAATGTTTGTGAATATTTAAATGGTTAATGCTTTACAAAATCATGTTCAACTGCTCCACCTGATGTAAACACTAAAGATTCATGTGCTTAATATTCACCAGAATGTACTTTAGATGAAACTAATAAATGTAAACTTGAAATTTGTGAAGATTTCACATTTACTACTGATGATGAATGTGAAAAAGCAAAACCAGGTTGCACTACTGATGGTACTAGATGTGTTTTGAGAACTTTATGTGAGTCTGCTAATAATATAGCAGGATGTGTTAGTGGACTTTATGAAATTATAGAAAATAATTAGAAGAAACAAGAGAAGAGACTATGTTAGTGGTAAACTGCAACTAAAACTTGTGTATTGAGAAAATGTGAAACGGCTCCTGTTTCTGCTGATTTTGATAGTGAATCTAAATGTGAGGCATATTTACCAGGTTCTAATTGCACAACTAAAAAAGGAGGAGGATGTGTTGTTAAGTCAACTTGCTCTGCTGCTACTGCAGAATCAGCATGTAATAATGTTGTAGGTAAACCAGATGATAAATGTACTTGGGAAAAGGATAATGGTAAATGTAGAGATTAAGGATGTTAGGATTTTGTATTCTCTACTCATGCTGATTGTAAAAAAGCTTCTCCAAAAATTAATTGTACTGCTGGCTAGAATGGTAGATGTACTACTTTGTCAACATGTGAAGCTGCTCAAGTTAGAGAGGCTTGTATAGAAGGCTTATATAATGGAAAATTAGAACCATGTCTATGGATTAATGGAAATTGTTATCAATATTATTCATGCAAGGATGTAAAATTGTTAACAAAAACTCACTAAGATTGTCAATAGATTTCTAATTAATGTACTTCAAATGGAGAAACTTGTTTAGCTATTACTTTATGCTCAGAAACAAACATATCAACTGAAGGATGCAAAGTTGGATATGATGGTCCTTGCATTAAAACTGTTCCAGCACTTGATTCAAATGAACAATCTGTTTGCAAAGCCTATACTGCATGTACTGATGCATTCTATAAGACTCATGATGATTGTTAAAAAGCTAGTGATAAATGCACAACCAATGGCGCAACATCTTGTGCTCCTCTAGGTCCTTGCTCAAATTATACTGTTAAGGCAGCATGTGTTAAAAATGACTTTGGAATAGCTACTGAAAAGTCAACTGGTTTAATTACATCTACAGGTTAATGTGTGTGGGAGAATGAAAAATGTTTTGATGAGGCTTGTAAAGATCTTCAAGGTGCTACTCATTTCGATTGTTATAATAAACTTAAAGGTTGCACTTCAGATGGAAGCAAATGTTTAACAATTGCTGCATGTGCATCTTATAATTCTTCTAAAACAGCTTGTGAAACTGCTTTTGGATCAGATGGACCTGCTGGAAAATGCTTATGGGATGCTGCAGCCAATAATAATGCTGGAGCATGTCGAGTTTACACATGCGCAGATATAACTGGAGGCATATCAACAGCTGTATGTCAAGCTGCATTATCTACATGTGTTTCAAATGGAACTATTTGTATAGAAAAAGCTAATTGCAGTAGTGCATCTTATTAAAATGCAATAGCTTGTAATTCTGAAGGAAAGGATGGCATTTGTATTTTCACTAAATCAACTGCTGCCGGTGCCACTCCTAACTAAGGTACATGTGTTTTGATGACATCATGTAATTAAGCTAAGAATGATTCAACTGCTTGCTTTAATGCTAGAGACAGATGTTTATGGACTCCAGAATCAAAAACAGGAACAACAACTAATCCTAGCAAATGTGATCCACATTCATGTACTACCTATAAATAATAGAATAAGGGAGTTTGTGCTAATTTCTATACTTTTGATTATAAATCTTAATAAGTTTGTGTACTTGAAGGTGCAGATTGTAAAGAAAAAGATCCAAGTACTCTCACTCAATAATTATGCTATACAGCTTCAGGATACACATATACTTGGAACACAGCAACTTCTAAGTGTGGAGTATGTACAGCGGTATAATAAAATAATAGTAATAACACAACCACTAATCCAAATACAACAACTTCAAATAACACAGATGACTCAGGCTACATTCTTGGTTTCACAACCATAATCTTGGGATATCTAGTATTCTGATAGAATTGATTATTAAATTTATATAGGGAAAATTATTCATAATTATTTTATTTTGGTTCTCCTCTTTAATTATCAATTTTGTTATTAATTTTAATTATTATAGCAATATTAGATTATTTTAGTAATCAAAAATTTAGTATTTCTTTTTGATTATCTCATTTTTTTTTGAATTAAAAAACTCAATATCATGAGAATGATTACCATATAATTTAATTGGATTTCGATTTGTAGTTTGATAATAATTAGAATTTACTTTGGTAGGAAATGTGTTAAAAGATAAATAAAAGGATAAAATTTTTAAATTAGTAGAAAATAAATTAAAATTTTGAGGAGTTATTGCTATTTTTGTGTTTTTTTTTCCATTCCATAGGAATTCATAATAGTTCAAATATTCCATCAAAATAAAATGAAGTGTGTTTGAGTCAGTCTGTTTAAAAAAATGACTTTTTAACAAACACTAATCATTAATTAATAAAAGTATTTTTAATTATACATTTGAGCAACCTAAATTTAAATTCTTTGTTTCCATGCATAAATTGAAAAATTCATTATACACCTTTTCTTGAAAAAAAATATCAAATAAAATTACCTTCTTTTGTTACTTAAACATAAGCAAATAAGCAAATGAATAGATATTATATTTACAATAGCAGCATAAAAATACAAATCCAAATAGACTGATTGTTTAAAAGTTTTATTATTAAATATTTATAAATTATATTTGTAATCAATGGTTTTTGCAAATATAAAAGTTTTTATTATATTACTCTGGACTAAGCTTTTCATTTATCATATTAAATTTGGCCTAACAAATTTTGCATTTCAGGCCTTATAGATATCTATTTCCATCCACACATATGCTGTAACCTCCATATTCGTTTTCGATGTCGACTAAATCGTCTTTGTGATAGCATTCACAATAATAACATTACTTTTTTTTTTTATGACATTCTAATATGCATGTTGGACAATGTTTATATTAGTATAAAGTGAGTATTTCCTTAGATAATTTAGATTTATAAATCTTTTTACAACATCGACATTCAATTTCTTCTTCTAAGTATTCTAATTTTTTACACTCACTACATTTCATTTCCTTTTCATTTTTATATTCACTTAATAAGCAACTATTAATTTATTTACAGATTTAACAAATATAATGAATATCACCACCATTCCACTCAATTGTATTTAAATCCATCTATTATTCACTAAAGCCTTTTCTACTAAGTCTTAGCCTTTTACATATTATACTACATTAACGATGTTACTTTTTAAAATTTTCTAATCCTATTTCTCTTAAATTAGTATCATCCATTTATAACTCCATACTGTAATTAGTTTTTGTTTGAATGGAAGCATCAGTTAAAATATTTCCAATACCTTGCAAATCTAAAATAACTAAATTTTCTTGACTTTCTTCATAAGTAAAATGACTGAATGATGTATAATAAAATTCTTTAGCTTAATTTTTGGTTAATGAACATTAATTTGATGTTATTTTTCTCCAATCTTTGTTTCCAACTATAAATGTTTCTCCATATATTGTAGTAATTCCTTTAAAAGGCTTTTCTAATTTATAAATTGAACAATCAACATAAAATATTGGAGGAATTCCATCAATATTAAGTTTCTATAATTTATTTCTAAATTTATAAGCCATTTGGTTTGCTATGTTTGTTGTATAATATCGAGCTCTAGCATAATCTTCAGTTTACTTGATACTTTCTTAGGAAATAGGTTTTCCATTTTTTTTTGAATCCTCAAATTCTTTAATATAAGTAGTTGGAATTTTAATTATTATATACTTATTTTAAATAGCATCAAACCCTTTATATACACAAGTTCTTTATTCCTTCTGTATTTTCAATTAAGTATTTTAGGTATAATTATTTGTTCCCATGATAGAGGTCCTATAAACTTAACCAGTACTTATTATTCCACTATAAAATTCATCAATTCTTTCATCGTAATTAGCATATTCTACATCAAAATCTTCATTTTTCTCATTAAGTTATAAATATGTTTCTCCTAATTATTGATGAGCATTTAAGTTTTTAATAAATTGCTTCCAATAGTCTAATTATTTGTTTTCAGCTTAATAATTTAAATCTTTTTGTTAAAACCTTTCGTATTCTGCCTTTATGAAATTGTTTGAAATGTAAGAATTATTTCCCCCATTTAAACTAAATTGTGAAGATCTGAGAGAGGCTTCAATTGTTTTCGATAGAGTAAATTACACTAATTCAGAAAAATCTTCTGTTTAATCCACTTTAAGTATTGACAAATTTTCAAAGTTTTTCCTCATAATATTATACATTGATTAAGTTTTCTTTGTAATTTCTACACAAAAGAAATAGCTATTTTTTTTCTTAGTTTTGAATTTTAAAATAACTGATTCTAAAGCATTTAGACTTATTTAACTCTTTAATTAATCTTCTATGCTTTCAGTTTCATTATGGTATTATCTACCATGATTTGGTGAATCACAGAATAGATAAGTAATCAGGAGACTTTAAGGATATTAAGAAATGTTCAATTTTAAAGCCTATTCTAATCCTGCTATAATATCCTCAGCTTCATCTCCCCCTCCTTTTGCTTGTTAAGATTTCACAAAACTTATAATACTTTTTACTTAATCAGTTAAGGGATGATATACAATCTTCTCCTTATCACCAATATCTCTATATCCAACAAAACCAACTCTAATCTAAATCTCTAGATTTTCAGCCTAAAACTATTCAATGATATGTTAAATGTGTAATTCCATCTATTATTTCCAAGGTTTCATCGATCCAGTTAGATCCATTATAAATATAATGTCAATAAAATTTGATTTATTTACATTGTATTTAAGTTTTTTGAGTTATTATTCTTCACAGAAAAGTTGAGCTTCTGATATTTTATATTATTAATAATTTTCGCTGATTTAGTTTTTTTCTAATTAAGTACAAGGTTTAAAAAGAAACTAAAAGTTATGACTATTTTTTAATTCTTCCCATTATTTATGCAGTTTAGAGCATTATTTAAATGGACATTTTCCTTGAAAATAGGGTATGCAAAATTTGAAATCTTTTTCCAAAATTCTTCTGCAATTTTCATCTAAATCTAAATTTTCTGGGTTATATTATTGACCTAATATTTCTATATTATATTTTGAGTAAGCCTCTTACCTAAGTGATTGCCAATTTAGATGCCTTTTCTTATCTTTACATTCTTAACTTTTACAAGTTCCAAATAGAGCTTTATTACATATTCCTTTAGCCCATTTAACATGAACATACTAACATTTATAATCTTCACATTAAGTTTCGCATAAATTATGATGATAGATTCCGTTAATAGGTTAAGTATTTAATTTAGATTGATATGTTTCTTCTGAGTGGTGTTTTAATTTACAATTTTAGATTAAGCACTTTAATTATTAATCTTCTCCATTTTACATTTAGAGATTATATAAATAAATGCAAAAACCTTGATATTATCTTGAGTGATCTAATTAGCATTTAGGCTTTTAACAAAAAACAGAATCCTCACAAAGACTGATATCCTTTTTTAACATTATAGAATATTTTTAATAACTTAATTACTATCTGTATTTACTATTTCTTATAAATCTGAATATAAATAATATAATGTATATAATCAATATTTCATACAAATCAACTCACCAAGAATATTTTTCAATTCTTTATCAGACTTAGTTTATTTTAAATCTATTATGCATGTAAGAAAAGATGTTAAATAAATTATCATATTTCTTTAAGATTAATTTTAGATGTTGAAAGAAAGAAATAATATTATTATTTTAAAGAGTTTGTATTGAAAATTAGAGGATTAGCGCCTTCTTGAACTAATTTGACAGTTTAGAGTGGATTATAAATAATTAATTAAAAAGTATTAGATATAATACATCAAAATTTTTTGAGTAGCCTTTTTTTAAATTTTAAGCTTTACAATGATTTATAATTAAGCTCAATTCACAGGTAAAATACCTTTCCTCTAATCAGTAACAAAGCTTTAGATCTTATCAGCTTGATTAATAAGTAGGCTATTTTCACTTATTATAAGATATTGCTATTGTAATTAAATAAGAATTTTATATCTTTCTTGATTTTTGAGTCAAAATTGTTAAGTTAATTATTTTCTTTAGGTCAGGAGATTCTAGAAAAAGAAAGGAAGAAGAAATAATAAAAAAATTTGAATATATATATAATATAATATATAATAAATTTCAAATATTTCTCAATCGTCACTCATCAATAAGCAAGTTCCACTGAGAATCCATTTAGATACGTCTGAATCTTCATTTTCCATATTTAGATTGGCTGTAAATACAAATGTAGGTCCTCTCATAGATGTAACATAAACTGGACAAGAATATTATCCAATTTTCTTCTTTTTATCTGCAGTAACAGCAATTACATTAACAACTGGTAATTTTGGATGTAGTTCTTTTTATTTTTATTCAATAAGATATCCTTCTTATCCTTATCCTCCTAATTCCCAAGCAGCTCCTTCTAAATAGAGACCATGGATAAAGGCACCATTTTCAGCCGAAACAACAACTTCTTCATGTCCTTTGACAGCTGTTACATTGGTTTATAAAACCATCTAAAAAATATAAATAATAATATTATACATCATCTAAAGGTAAACCTTATTCTCTGGCAGTCTTTTACATAATGGCAGTCAAGAATGACATTGGGTTAAATAAATAACTAATGCATAATGAAGGTGGAGTAACCATTTCTTATGTCCATGCAGCTAATTAATTTGTTCTTTCAATTAAATCATTAAACCAAGCAGCCAAACCTTTTCTTGAGAAATAAGCAAATTTCTCCCAATTTGCTGGTACTTTATTGAATTATAATGATAGAGATAAGGCTTCCATTTAATCAGTGATATTTAATGCACCAGTTAAACCTAATCTTAGATCTTCAAGGGATCTTCTTATTTCACCTAATAGAATATTCATTCTTTCACATTCTTATAAACATACAATCTAATCAGGTGTCTTTTCTGATGCTTTAGCTGTTACATCCATTAAATTGGTGTCAGCAGGTGTTGTGGATTTTAATAATGTTAATTAAGTCATAACTCCATCATCTTTTTTACCTCCACCACCACTACTTGATCCTCCTTGGACATCTAATATTGTACTGAATAGAGTTTCACATTATTATGTTAAATAACCAATTTCAGCATTTGGATGCATACCAAACATTTATGGTGATTCTATTGGTAATTTCTTTTCAATATATTCTTTGTATTATTCATATTCGAATTTCGAAGGATCTGGTGATTTGAATCCTGGTCCTAAATTGAAACCTGGTTATAATAATTCAGGTTTAATTAACACTTTTAAATAGGTTGCATTGGTTCTTCTATCCCAATCATCTGTAATATGTCCACCATACATAATTTCACCAAAAATATATTTCAAATCATCCCAAGGAACAACATCATACTTTGATAAATAATTATACAAGACATTAGCACAAATTGTAAGATCACCATCATTAAAGTTATAAATTCTAGACCAACCTTAAGCACCAAACTTCTTTCTTCCTAAGACTAGGGAATGGAAATGACATAAAGCAAACAAACAGGCTTTAAATTCTTATGGTTTTTTTTAACATTTATTCAAGAATTCTTAATCAAAGTGAGCATAAGCTCTTCTAAGATTTGCCTTTAAATCTTATGGTGCTTCATTAGCAACTTTGACAGAAGCTTATAAAATAGATTCTGGGATGATCTTCATTTCAGGTAAGGGAGGGGGTTCTGATGAAATAAAGACTCTAAAGTTAGGATGATGTTTAGCATAAACTGTTTCAAGATATCCTTCCAAACCATTAAGACCTGTTAACCAATTTTACATGAGATGTACATTTTATAACATAATCCAATGTCCTTGAACAGCACAATCAAGTAAAGCTTTTCTAGCGATTTCTTCTTATCCTTGACCCATGGAAATATTAATGAATTTACCATTAAATGATGTAATATCATATTAGGCAGCAACTCTTTCAACTTCAGGAGTAGGATCAACTCCAGGGAATAACACAAAGAAAATTGGTGTTGTTGGAGCCATTTCATTAAATGTTTCAAAGATAGAGAATGGAGGTTATTCAACATATTTATCTCCCATTTCTTCAGCAACATAATTAGCCATAGCTGACGTTAATCTATCAGGTCTCATAGTTCTTAATAATAATAATCTATGGAATTTCTTAAGATGACTGAATGCTTTAGGTAGATCACTTATTTCAGCTTTTTCTTCATTATACCATTTCTTCCATTAAAGATTATCTACTTCAAGACTTTATCCAAGACCATTAAAGTCAGGGATTGATTCTAAAGCCTTACAACATGCCCAAATGGTATCATTTAAGAATGATTTTAATGATTCAGGCATAGGAGGAGGATTCAATTCTATTTTGCCTATAATCAAATGATCAACTTATTCTTTTGGTAATTTATTAGCTTTAAGATTAATTCTTAATGTAAGCATAGTTGATACTATCAACTTATGTCTTTCAAACAATCCTCTTCTAGCATATTAGAATGAAGTATAAGTAATACTTTCAATTAATTAATTAACTCTCTTCTTCAAAGATTATGGAGTTAATTAATCATCATCTGCTGGTCTCTTTGGTTCTTCTGCTTATTCTTCTTTTTTCTATTCTCCTTCTTCACCTTCTTTAGGTTCTCCTTCTTCACCTTCACCTTATTAGCCTTCTCCTTACTCTCCTTCTTATTATTCACCTTCTTATTATTCTCCTTATTGTTATTATTATTCTTCTTCTTATTATTATTCTTCTTATTCTTATTATTCTTATCCTTCTTCACCTTCACCAGCTTCTTCTTCTTCTCCTTCTCCTCCTTCCTTCTTCTTACCAACATCTATTTAGGCTGCTGCTTTCTCATCTAACATTACTCCTGTTTAAACATGTTTATGTTCAGAAATCAAATCGATGGCTCTATGTACAACTACTAAATAAGATTCTAATGAATATTTATAGAAAGAGTGAATCTTTGATAAATCTGTTAATAAGAAATAAATTAATGCACCTCTTGCAGCTGCATTTCTATATTATTCTGATGTCTCATTAATTTTAGCTTCTGTAGCTTTTGCAATCTCTACTTTCTCAGCTATTTCAGTTGAAATCTTTTTTGAATATTCTAAATTTTCAATCAATGCAATATCTTCCAAAATATCACCTTCAGCATTTGCCAATTTATATAATAATTCATCTTCTAATTCCTTTAATTTTATCTTAAATGAATTTTATTGTTATATCAATTCAACTTTCTTTTATGCTAAATCTGGTCTCTCTCTTCCAACCACCAATGCTAATAATTAATCACTTAAACCATCTTCAGTAACTGTGAAATTTATCAAAGTTGCTTCTGCTTATATTTCAGGAGGATAGTGAGGATTACTCAATTATGTGTGTAAGAACAATTAAAATTTAGGATGTACATCTAATTCTTAACCTGCAAATTTAATCTTCTTTTATCCTGAACTCTTTATTATAAATTGTCTTGCTATCACTGGCATTAATACAGCATCAATTCTCTCATCCATATTTTCAATTAAACATGGATTTCCTGCTTATATTGAAAATTCTATCTATCTATTTGTATTCTTTTATCCAATACGCAATATTTTCATATTATTTGCTGATTCCTTCTCTTTTATCCATTTAATACCTTATAATTAAGGATCTATTATTAAAGGATATCTTTCAGAATTAGTCAATATTGTACCATTCTCTGTACTGACTGCATCGCTTGGTAATAATTATTGATTCCATTTAGCTATTGTACTTTCATCTGTCAGTAATTTTACTGGATCAGCATTGTTACTTAATGGAACCTTATTGTCTATTATGAATTTCAAAAAGTAATCTTTTATCATTACATCTCTAAATCTCTTATTGAATGGACCTGCATAAGAAACAAAAGCAGCAGATACCAATACGTCACCACTTAACAATTGAATTTATCCTTCCAACATTTTTATTGCTTAATCCCAACGTTCATTCTCACTACCCAAAGCTTTAACTAAACGATTTGCTGAGTTAAGTCTTTTTTCACATTTTGCTGCTTAATCTAATGCAGCTTGTAATTGTGCCATTGCTTTATTGTAATCAGCAGTCAAAACAGCTAATTTATCATTTAATTCTTTCACTTATTCTTAAACTTTCGCTAATTTGGCATTTGCATCATCTAATTATTGTATTGCTTCCTTCAGAGCTTATCTTTTTGGCTCTACAACTTAAATTACATCATAATATTTAACTATGTTAATAACCCAATCACATAAACCTCTAGCAGCTGATGATTTATTAGCCATTGTTTATGCATTGAAATGTTCTAAATTCAAATAATTTTTCTTAACAAAATCAACATTTGTTGGTGGTACTTAATTAGCATCGACAATATCTTTGAAACCCATTAATTTATTCAATAATTCTTTTGGCTTTTGCATCATTTTTTATGCACTCTTCCAATCAAATGCTTTTGGTTTTTTAGATTTAGGATCAATTTCAATTTGTTCATTATAGAAACCAGCTAATAAGAAAATGGTGGCTGAGAAGACATCAGGTACACCAGATGGAGGAGTTGCAAAGTTTTTAGCAACTTAGAAATCTTTTTCACTCAATCCATTCAAGGCAGCCTTGGCTTATTCTACTAGTGGAATGGCAGCATCTAAATCAGCTTAAGTAGATGTTTTTTTCTATTCAACATCTTATTTGATAGTTGAACATTTAGCTTCTTCATCTGCAGCTTTTGCATTTTCGATTTCAGCTTTTGCTTTTTCTTTTCCAACGACTTCAGCGACTTGATTAGCTTCATTTTTGATTTATTCAGCTTCTTGTTATTTTTCTTTAACTTGAATTTCGATTTCAGCGACTAATGCTTAAGTAGATCTAAGTTTAATAAGACCATTTTCATATCTTTCTTTGTTTTTTTCAAGCATACCTTTTTTGGTTTTCAACATGAATATATATAATTTGATTAATTCTAAGAATGATTTAGGTGTAGTATAGACATATCTTCTTTCTTATTCTAATAATTTGACAGATAAATCATTAACTAATTTGAATGAGAATGGCATAAATTTAACAATAGCTTCTCTAACTTGATCAGTTGGAACATCAATATCTTTTAAGAATTGTTAAGCAACATTATAAAGAGCATCTTATGGCCATGGTTAGAACCAATCAATAACAGTAGAATTGACAAGAGCAGGGAATTGACGAGCTCTTTTACGTAAAGATTCTCCAACTGGTGAGAAACATAAAGTCATATGTAAATTTTATCTAACTTTATCAATAAACCATCCCCAACATGAATCTCTTGTATCTGGTCTACCATCAGCTTTAACTTTAGGTCTAATTTAATTGATTAAGACTTCTTTTTCATCTGAGTTATATAATTCTGCTACTTCTCCTGAAGATAATAAATCATTGATATAAGTTAAGAATCTTTCATTAGTGATTTAACCTTCATTAAATAAGAACATAATAGCTTCATCTCTAACACCAGATTTCTAATATAATAATTATAAATCAGTTCTGAGATCATTCATACCATAATTACTAGAGATAGTAATCATAAAGAGTGTATATGTCATAATGAATGCAGCCAATTTAGTTAATGATTATTTACCACTACCACCAACTCCTACTAATAGAGAATGTCCTCCTGGTGGTAATACTATTCTAGTTATTCTACAAACATGTTTAAGAGCATCCTCAAATAATACTAATCCCATATAGGCAAAATTATCATTATATTCTTTGAGTGCTTCAGTAATAACTGGTTCCAATTTATCATTTGGCATTTAATCATAAAATCTATCACCACCAATACCAGCTAAGAAATTGCAAAAGATTAAATTTTCAGGATTATCTTTAGCAAAGAATCTACTGAAATTGAATTTTGTGAATTGTTTTTTTAAGAGATCAAACATTAAAGCTTTATATGTATTAAGATTATCCATTGAAACTAATCTATCTCCATATGTTCTTTCAGATTCATGAACCCATAATCTAATTAATTTATCTGAATCAATGAATTTTGCAGGATCTGCCAATAGTAATCCTTATATTACATTAGAAATATGTCTAAGATTGAATTCATAATGGAAATTTATGGCAGTCTTCCTAAAATTCTAAATTACGCTTGTATGTAATTATAATGCTGCTTTAATAATAGCAGGTCCATTTTCAGAAACTGCTGGTTTGAATCTTTTAAGATGTCCTGATAAGAATGTATTGTATATTAAGAATAAGCTTTCATTATCAGGAATAGGAATAGAAACAGTCCAAAAATGTCTTTAATATCTAGGATTAACAAAGAATGAACCAGCAGATGGATTCATGGCTGCAATTGTTTATGTATTAATGATATCTTTTAAACTTAATTTACCAAGATCATACCAATGACCATAATCTGCATGTTATCTTAATAATGCTATTGCTGTTTATGTATCATATGGATCTAATTAAGGCATATTTAAATCATCAATGAAATAAATTAATTTACCTTTTCCTTAAGGTCCAAATTATCTACCTGCTTTCTTTTCTAATTATTATTCTAATTATGCTTATAAATATGTAGAATCAGTATAATAATTGAAATTGATTAATTAGAAAGTAAAGTTATCTGGTTATGCTTTTACAATATCTCTTAAAATACCTTTGGCTAATTATGTTTTACCACAACCTGATTAACCAATCATAAGTACTGGTTATTAAACATAAATAAATTATTTAACTAATTCACTTGTTGCTAGAGTTTCTTTAGTTGGTACTGTAATATTTCCCATAACCATTCCTTATGTAGGATCAAAATCTATAGCTGTTAATCTCTTAGCCCATTCATCAAATTTAACATTTTCTGTATTTTATTCAACAAAATAATCAAATACAGTTCCTTTACTTGGGAATTTAACAGACGTTTTCCATTCTCCTTTCCACCAATTTGAGAAATCTTTACGATAATCAATTGAATCTTTTTCAGATAAAACTCCACCAATAGCCCAAACACAACAATAAACAAAATGATATTCCATATTTTTAACTTCTCCTTATAATAATGGCAATAAAGCTTTACACAATGAAATAATCATTGAAATTGGATTAACTGGAATCAATGTTTTACAATGTTTCTTTAAAAACAATAATGTACCTTCTATATATCTATCAAATAATTTCTATAAATCTTATTTGAATTTATCATCATTGAAATTATTCTTTACCCATGATTTTACATATGCTCTCCATTAATATCCTTTATCATCTGAAATATATAAAATACCAGCTCTTGATACTGTAGCTGGAGTAGCAAATCTAAGATCTCTAATTTCAAAAAGCATTCTCATATGTGGTTTTAATGGAATTCTTTCATT